TTTTTTTTTTTTTTTTTTTTTTTTTTTTTTTCTTTTCTATTGCTATCCTGAAATCATTTGATCTATGACTGGACAGCTGATAAAATGCAATTATCAACTCCCAGGATAATGATACCTGGTAAATAGTAAAATGTAGTCAGAATAATCCAGGAGATAGCCCCTCAGGTTGTACACTAGTTTAGTACGTGTAGCTCTAAGACGGGATAATGAATCCGAATGTGTGGTTGTGTTGGCGATTCTTCTCGGACTATACGAAGCCGCTCTATCAATTAATGCTTCTGTAAATCATAATGACAGAAGCAACCAAAATAAATCTGGTAACGCTCACTTTGTTGACACGCGACTTTGGCAGTCGTTTCAAGTAAACTCGAATTCGAGTGACTCACGTGGGTTGAATGAAGTAGAGCGGACTCCTAGGAAATCTGTCTGGAATAGGGACTCAAAAAGCTGGTTTCTTCTGAGCCTCTCTCCAAATAGATTCGGTGGGGAAACTGGCAAATCTAAACATTAGGCTAGGTACGTTATTTTCGGCGCGATTTATTTAAATATCTAATCATCGGAACCAGTGTGATACCTATATATTTATGCGCCACAAATTAATGGATACAAATTGGGATACTGCTTGAATACCCTAAACTTAAACTCACCAAGACTAAAATCCAGAAGTATAGTCCATAAAGCTGTGGAGCAATGTGAAATGATTCAGTCTCACGATTACTGGTAACCAACAATAGGTTCACACTCCATTCGTTCCATCAGGATAAAGATATAGAGAGCAATAGAAAATAAAGGTGATTGAATTGAGCATCTAAATGGGGTGCTACAATAATTCGAATAATATTTGGTAGCTTCAGATGAATGCCTATGCATGTTAGTCGCTAAGACACAGATATATGGTGATTAAAATCAAGTTATATGTTGTCCAAACACACTACCTATGGGTTACCATTAATCAAGACTTGAAAACTACCGCTCATTGCCGTGCCTTACCCTCCAAAGTTCAAATGACACTATGGTCAACAAGTAGAGCTTTAAGCTATCTCGTTGCTTTTATATTTTTGACTTTGCACACAATATTCGTTCTAAACTTGAGTATTATATACAATCTAGCCTGTTAAAAAAATGAGCTGTTGGAAAAGGATCAAAGAACCGCAACTAAGTTGATTACCTGTATCATATAGCTGCTAAATTCCCCATGCCATGTTGAGAAACCATAGGTGACTTGATCGTAGTTTTTAAATTGCTTAATGATATATCCTCATTTTCGCTGTCTCCCTAAATATATAGGATTAACAAGGACACTAGAGAAGTTCACAAGCTAAAGAATAATTACTTGTCCGCTGACTATCCAATTTCCCATTGAATCATCAACAAATGGAATTTGTTACTTTAACTCATGGTTGAATCTCCATCTATCGACGCATTCAAGTGAAGGTTGGACTAACACGGACCACTTAGCCTCCCGTCCTTTCCAAACGGAAATTGAAATTAGACTCTCATCTACCAAACGGATTCTCAGTTGTCTTAATGGATGGTTTTTTGTCTTCTAAGATATCAACAATTTGCTTCTGGCCGCAAAATTACCTAAGTTACTGATCATTTGTCTACTGCCACACTACATCCAGTTTCCAATTATACTTCAACATGCTAGTTTTAGCATTGTGTCTAGGAGTTTTTAGTATCTTCATTATGTTGATAGTCAAGTTTTTGTATTGGAAAGTTCAATGTTGGTTTTGTGGGTACACCACACGTGCATCATGGAGTAGAAAAACTTCATTTGTTTGTCAACAGTGTGGTCAGTACAATGGATTTAAAAGTGATGGTGACTACAACAAAGTCATACCATCTCAATACATTGCTGAATTAAATCCAATTAATTTTCATCAGGTAAGGTATAAATTATACATATATTTCTAATCTCCTAAGGTCCGCGGTACATTTTCATCGCATTCTGATGTATTATGTCCGGATTGTACACGTAATCAAAATATTATTATTCAAAAGTTGTCGGAATATAACCCGAAAGATGACAAGTCAGATGAGGAAATAAAAGAATACACTCGTCAATTAGAGTTGAAATATAGTTTGTGTTCAGGTTGTTATCGAAAAGTCAATGACAAACTTAGGCAGGTAAGTTGTTAGCTTTTCATTACATGTACATTACAAATTTAATGATTTCTTTTGAATATTCGACAATGTGAGCAGCCGGGATGTGACATCCGGCCGCCCCCCCCCGTACTCGTAACAACACATGAGACCAAACTAGTCTACTGTTTACAGCTTTAATTTTATTCAGTCATTTTGTGAGATTGAAACCTATTCCCATTATTTTATTCACCAATAAATTTAACGTGGGAAACCATATGGTAGAACTAATGGTTTGTTAGATAATGTAACCTTTGGTGAAATGCTGTACCCAGCACTGCTTCTGTAAATAGCTCCATTTGTTAGTTCCAATTCATTAAGACATTCAACCGT